AACATGATAAATACACACTAGACCGCTCCAGACACTGCTAAACCAACCATAGTTATATTACTTTACTTCTTTTCTGTAGTATATAAAATGTAATTTACATGTAATAAATATTGTTAAGCACAAAAGAAAAACACTAACATGCTTTATAACACATACAATGAAGATATATATATATATATATAATATATATATTATATATATATATATATATATATATATATATATATATATTATATATATATATATATATATATATATATATTTTATTTATTTTATTATCACACTGGCCGATTCCCACCAAGGCAGGGTGGCCCGAAAAAGAAAAACTTTCACCATCATTCACTCCATCATTGTCTTGCCAGAAGGGTGCTTTACACTACAGTTTTTAAACTGCAACATTAACACCCCTCCTTCAGAGTGCAGGCACTGTACTTCCCATCTCCAGGACTCAAGTCCGGCCTGCCGGTTTCCTTGAACCCCTTCATAAATGTTACTTTGCTCACACTCCAACAGCACGTCAAGTATTAAAAACCATTTGTCTCCATTCACTCCTATCAAACACGCTCACGCATACCTGCTGGAAGTCCAAGCCCCTCGCACACAAAACCTCCTTTACCCCCTCTCTCCAACCTTTCCTAGGCTGACCCCTACCCCGCCTTCCTTCCACTACAGACTGATACACTCTTGAAGTCATTCTGTTTCGCTCCATTCTCTTACATGTCCGAACCACCTCAACAACCCTTCCTCAGCCCTCTGGACAACAGTTTTGGTAATCCTGCACCTCCTCCTAACTTCCAAACTACGAATTCTCTGCATTATATTCACACCACACATTGCCCTCAGACATGACATCTCCACTGCCTCTAGCCTTCTCCTCGCTGCAACATTCATCACCCATGCTTCACACCCATATAAGAGCGTTGGTAAAACTATACTCTCATACATTCCCCTCTTTGCCTCCAAGGACAAAGTTCTTGTCTCCACAGACTCCTAAGTGCACCACTCACTCTTTTTCCCTCATCAATTCTATGATTCACCTCATCTTTCATAGACCCATCCGCTGACACGTCCACTCCCAAATACCTGAATACATTCACCTCCTCCATACACTCTCCCTCCAATCTGATATTCAATCTTTCACCTATCTTTTTGTTATCCTCATAACCTTACTCTTTCCTGTATTCACCTTTAATTTTCTTCTTTTGCACACCCTACCAAATTCATCCACCAATCTCTGCAACTTCTCTTCAGAATCTCCCAAGAGCACAGTGTCATCAGCAAAGAGCAGCTGTGACAACTCCCACTTTGTGTGCGATTCTTTTATCTTTAACTCCACGCCTCTTGTCAAGACCCTCGCATTTACTTCTCTTACAACCCCATCTATAAATATATTAAACAACCACGGTGACATCACACATCTTGTCTAAGGCCTACTTTTATATATATATATATATATTATATATATATATATATATATATATATATATATATATATATATATATATATATTATATATGTCGTGCCGAATAGGCGAATTTTCTATCTTGACTTAAATTAGCAACGCTCATCTTGCCATATAGACAATTTAAAATTTGTGTATGCAATAATTTCCCCAAATTCATTCTGAACCTAACGAAAAAAATATATTTATTTTTTTGTTTATATTAAATTATTGTAAAAAAAATCTAAAATATATTTGTTGGGAAAAGGCAAAATAAATTGCGCTTTTTACAAAAAGGGTTAGGACTAACTTTTTGTGCAAAATTTAAAAAAATTTTACATCAACATTAATAAAAAAAATATATATCTTTAAACGTTAAATGAAATTTCAAAAAGGATTAATTTTAGATGAGTTTTGCTAATTGACCAGTTTTACTATTGGGCAGCATATATATATATAATATATTTTTATTTATATATTATTATATATATATATAATATATTTTTTATATTTTATATATATATATTTATATATTATATTTTTTATATATTTTTTAATATATTATATATATATATATATTATATTTATATTATATATATATTATATATATATATATATTATATATATATATATATATATATATATAGATATATATATATTTATATATTAAAATTAAATATTTTTATATATACATTATATATTATATATATATATATTTTTTTATATATATATTATATATGTCGTGCCTAATATGTAAAACTGGTCAATTAGCAAGAACTCATTTAAAATTAAGTCCTTTTTGAAATTTTCTCTTATACATTAAAAGATATATTTTTTTCATTATTGTTGATGTAAAAATTTATAATTTTGCACCAAAAGAATCTTAGAAAACTTACCTAACCTTATTATAACAAGGACAATTTATTTTAGGATGACCCAACTAAATATATTTTAGATTTGTTTACAATAATTTAATATTAAAACAAACACAGTGAAATATATTTTTTCGTTAGGTTCTGAATGATTTTGGCGAAATTATTTCATACACAAGTTTTCACTTGTCCTATATGGCAAGATGAGCGTTGCTATTTAAGCCCAAAATCGCAATTCTGGGCCTATTCGGCACGACATATATAAAAATATATATTATATATATATATATATATATTAATATATATATATATATATATATATATATTATATTAATATATATATTTTATATATTATATATATATATATATATTTTTTATATTATATAGATATATTTTATATATATATATATTTTTATATATATATATGTTGTGTTGTGTGTGTATATTATATATATATATATAATATATTATATATATATATTATATATTTATATATTATATACATAAAAATTATATTATATTTATATTATATATATCATATATTATTTTTTATATATTTATATATAATATATATATATATATTATATATTTTTATATATATATAAAATATATATTATATATAATATATATATATAATTACCTGGAGTTTACCGGAGAGCGTTCGGGGGTCAACGCCCCGCGGGCCCCGGGTTTTTTGACCAGGCCCCCTGGTGGATCAGAGCCTTTATCAACCAGGCTGTTGCTGCTGGCTGCACGCAAACCAACGTACGAGCCACAGCCCCGGGTGGTCAGGAACCGACTTTAGGTGCTTGTCCAGTGCCAGCTTGAAAAACTGCCAGGGGTCTGTTGGTAATCCCCCCTTTTGTATGCTGGGAGGCGTTGAACGGTCGGGCCCCTGACACTTATTGTTTTGGTCTCTTAACGTGCTAGTGACACCCCGCTTTTCATTGGGGGATGTTGCATCGTCTGCCAAGTCTTTTGCTTTCGTAGTGAGAGATTTTCGTGTGCAAGTTCGGTACTAGTCCCTTAGGATTTTCCAGGTGTATATAATCATGTATCTCTCCGCCCTGCGTTCCAGGGAATACAGTTTTAGGAACCTCAAACGCTCCCTGTATTGAGGTGTTTTTTTCTCCGTTATGCGCGCCGTGAAGGTTCTCTGTACATTTTCTAGGTCAGCAATTTCACCTGCCTTGAAGGTGCTGTGAGTGGGCGCAATATTCCAGCCTAGATAGAACGTGACCCGAAGAGTGTCATCATGGGTTGGCCTCCCTAGTTTTGAAGGCTCTCATTATCCATCCTGTCATTTTTATAGCAGATGCGATTGAAACAATGTTATGGTCCTTGAAGGTGAGATCCTCCGACATGGATCACTCCCCCGGTCTTTGCGTTGGTGTTTCGCTCTATTTTGTGGCCAGAATTTGTTTTTGTACTCTGATAAAATTTTTTCATTGCCTATATGGCAAATGAGCGTTGCTATTTAAGCCAAAATCGCAATTCTGCCTATTCGGCAAATATATATATATTATATTATATATAATATATATATTATATATATATATTATATATTGTGGAAAATTGCATTTATCTGAATGTATCATTATGTACATAACAATAAATGAATACAGATAATTATTATTTATCAGTTAGACAAGTAGGAATTTGGGACACCTAGGTCGCAAAAATGTCCCCCTTCGATACATACCACTGTTATATCCACAAGTTGCTCTGGACCTATTAATTACCAATGAAATATGTATAACCAGGAATACTGGTAAATACATAAATTTTGTGGACTGTATATTAAAAATAATAAATGGTTATATATATACACAATTACATAACAGAAGGAAAATATATCTTAATATCACTCACCAATTTGACTGGAGATTAAGGTGTATCACACTCGGAAAACCCCCCTGTCTACAATCATGATAATAATACTGGCCAGAACTATAAACATAATATAGACATGACTTAGCTGGGGTTCCTGGAGCTGTCTTGTACAGTCGCCTGATTCTCAAGTTATGCAGGAATGCACATCCAACAATTTCGCCTCCTATTTGAGAGGTGTCAGCCCAATTTTAACCTCTAGAGCACGAAAAATTCTTCCCATTACACCAACGTTTCTAATCCAAATTCAAAACCAAGATGGCGAGTGTCTCTTCTTTTTTTCGATAACATACTTCTTTTAATAAAAATACAATATAGGGCATGTATTTACCTATAAATTACCGTATTTCCGGAAAATATATACAGTATTTTCCACATATATATATATATATATATATATTATATATATATATATATATATATATATATATAACACACACCCCACACACACACACACACACACACACACACACACTTGTAATGTAATTTGCCCTAATATAAAATATTCATCAAGAAATAATTTTTTAAATAAATTTCTTAAAATCTTTTTTTTTATCTAATATTTCTTACCATCCTTTAATCAAATCGTAAACACCACGAAATACCCCTAACGGCTGTTGAAACCGTTTAACACTATCTAGTAATCTTCAACATGAGGCTAAAATACTTTGTTGAACACACCCTCTCTAACCTTACCTAACGTCTATATTCATAAAAATAAAAGAATTAAACAACCTACACCACCTTTTAACACCGTTTAGCCTCACCAAACATCCCCTGACACCGCCGAGCACTACTGTAATTTAAAGTACATTATCGCCAATCTAACATTATGAGCGGAAATGCTAGTCACTGGAAATTTCAAAGTGGTGAATTAAACTGAGGACAGCACAAGTCTGCTACTGTACCTACAAATAGGTACTTATAATTCTGGACAAAGCGCCTTGCTCGTAGGGACCAAACAGTGCCTGGGAAATGGGAGGTAATTAGGTTTGATAAATAAGATGCATGTGTAACAGTTGGGTATCTTTATTCCGAAACGTTTCGCCTACACAGTTGGCTTCTTTAATCGAGAACAGAGGAGGTAGCAGAAGCAGAAGAGATGTAAAGACGATGTAATCAATTCAAAACTCTTGAGGTACTCCCTCACCCAGGTTGAGGGAGCCTATTCAAGAAGCCTACCGTGTTGGCAGAACGTTTCAGAATAAAGATACCTAACAAACCATACCACGGGTGGGATTTGAACCCGCGGTCAGAGTCTCAAAACTCCAGACTGTCGCGTTTGTTTGCAATCGTGTCATTACGATTTCGTGAGTCAAAAATACCTAACTGTTGCACTTGTGTCTTACTTATCAACTTGTCGGTATTGTATACCATTATCATATTCACGTAATTATGTTTGCTCCCATGAAGTGGGAGGGTAGGTACCAATAACTAGACCTAGATAATAGGCGCTTGTAACAGGTAATATAAGTGTCGAAGGTACTCACGTATATGTCTTGCCGTCAGAGGCACAGATGGGTTCGTACTCCTTGGCGCAGACGTCGTTGCAGCGACACACTGGTCGTCGTTCGCGGTCCAGCTGGCAACTCTGTCGTTCTGGGCAAGAGACATCCTCGCAAGGGTCTGCAAAGTGAAATGGCAGTAATTCAGTCTGTGACAATACTTCTGGCGAGTGGCTGAGTGTGTACTCACCTATATGTGGTTCCAAGGGTCGATTCACGGCTCCTGGCCCCGTCTCTTCGCTAGTCGCTACTAGGTCCACACTCCCCCGCACTTAAAGCTATGTATGGATCCTGCCTCTACTACACCACTCTCCAGATTGTTCCACTTCCTGACAACTAAGGCTAAATAAATACTTCCTAATCATCGAGAGAGAGAGAGAGAGAGAGAGAGAGAGAGAGAGAGAGAGAGAGAGAGAGAGAGAGAGAGGAGAGGAGAGCGAGAGAGAGAGAGCAGAGAGAGAGAGGAAGAGAGTGGGTGATGGAGTGGAGGAGAGGAGATGATGGAGAGAGAGAGAGAGAGAGAGAGAGAGAGGAGTGTGTGTGTGTAGTCACCTATTTGTGGTTGCAAGGGGGTCGAGTGCAGCTCCTGGCCCGCTCTTCAACTGATGCTACTAGTCCTTCTGCTGCCCATGAGCTTCTATCATACTGCCTTAAAACTATGTATGGTTCTGCCTCATCAACATCACTTTCTAGGCTATTCCATGGCCTGACTATCTATGACTGAGATACTTCCTAATCCCTTAACTTCCAATTGTGAACGCTCGTTTGCTGTGTCCCATCTCTGGAAGCATCGTCGTTGTCGGCTCGTCTATTCCGTCGCGGTATTTTAATACCCCGATATCATGTCTCCCCGACCCTCCTGCCTCCAGTGTCGTTCAGGCCGATTTCCCTCAACCTTTCTTTCATAGGACAATCCCAAAAGCTCTGGGACTAGTCTTGTTGCAAACCTTTGCACTTTTTTAATTTCTTGACGTGCTTGACTAGCGTGGATTTCAAATGGTGCTGATTACTCAGTATGCTGAACGTAGATGTGTACAGATTCTTAAACGAATCCTTACTGAGGTACGGATCGCCCATCCGTAGGTTTGCCAGGCGCCCGTATTGCTGCAGCAGTATCTGAATGATGAGCCTCAGAGATATGCTCGGTGATTATATCACCCCCAGATCTTTTTCCTTGGTGAGGTTCGCCGTTTTGGCATCGTGTGTGTGATGTGTGTGTGTGTGTGTGTGTGTGTGTGTGTGTGTGTTGTGTGTCGGAAAGGATGGGGAAGGGGGGGTTATTATGTTGTGTTTAAAGTGTGGTAACTTGTCATATATATGTGGGGTGATAACTTGCCATGTATGTGGTAGATGGTAGCTTGCCATATATGTGAAGGGTTTTGTATCAACTCCACCGGTGTGCTAGGGAGGGAGCCATGTCGTGTGTGAGGTATGGTGACCTGTCGTATATGTAACGGTAGTTTAGCATCTCTACTGGTGTGGTGGTGGGGGATTGTGGTGGTGGGGGATTGTGGTGGTGGGGGATTGTGGTTGTGGTGGTGGGATCAACTACCCCAATAATGAACACACTAGTTATGACAGCCAACTTGTTATATCAAATTTCAAAGTTGTTTTATCAAGCTTCTAACTTGCCTCAATAAATCTCTAACGTGCTTTATCAAACTTCTAATTTATTTTTTATCCATTTTCACCTTGTTATAACATGCGTTTAATTTATTATATCAAACGTAATTTACCAAAGTTCTAACTTACTCTGTCAGACAGTTTGCTATCTCAACGTCATGATATAGCAAATTAACTGTTCTTCCCCTCCTCCTTTTCTATTCCTCCCTTTCTTTTTCTCCAGCACTTCTGAAGAGAAACCCAAGAATCGCAGGATAAACCAGAATGAAGGTGAGGTAAGAATTTATTTACGGCGTGAGGTTCGGGGATTAGCAAGGCTGGAATTTGAAAGGCGGGAGTTAGCATTTGGGGCTGAGCTTCTCTGATCATTTATGAATGACTGGCCTCCAGATGAAGTTGGTTAATGGGATTTAAAACCTACTGAATGCACTAGGGGCATTAAGGATGCACATACCGTAGTTTTGTCACACCAGACAGGAATACTTTAATCCCTAAAGAAGGAATTAAACTCTCAGTATATATACGTCGAGAGAAATACACCTCTTTATGCATATACTACATGAAGTGACCCTCTGGCTAGGACCTCATGAATTGTTGCTGTTTACTCAAGCTGGTTGAGGTCATGGACCACACAGGCGTTTCCCACCTCAGCCAATGAAGAGTCGCCAGCATCGTAGTTCATGATTCATTTTCATATTCTCTCTCTCATAACACATCCACAGATGATCTTTTGCAGAACTCACGAAGCCATTAAGGTGTGGCCTTTTACTTCCCTTGCTCCTACCCCCGGTAGTCTAATGCCAGTAAGGGTGCGCCCTAGACTTCTACTTTCTTAGCCCTGCCCCAGTGGTCTAATACCTTGAGATTGAGTCTGAGATTATTTTTGCATTAAAACTGAACTCATAAGCAATGTGCTGCAACGATATTTTCGTATGACAGTTACACAGTGGGAACACCCTCAGTGTGCTCCTCCTGTGATAGCTACATAATGGGCTCAAAGGCTAGTCTGTACCCATGCCATATTCTACCACAGGACGAATTTCTTACATCAGGTGAAGCATGGGTGGGGTCGGGACAAGTACGTACGTACGTACGTCCCTGTGTTAGTTATTAGTTGTCAAAGGAACCTGTCGACAGACACTTTGCCTACCCTTGTTGTACTTCCTACCTCTCCACTTGGTTCCCATCCTTATGTTGCCTTTCTCTTTGCAACCCTTACTTCACCTCTTTTTAATCTAATGGTAATAGTTACCGCTTGCTCTCCGTCTTGATGAGACAAAATAGTTAACTTTAGCTCTTGTTTCATCTCTTAATATCTTGTATGTTGTTACCATGTCTCCTGTGGTCTCTTGGACCTTATCATAACCACCCTTGAAGTGGTGTCTTTAGTTTGCCTCCACCACTGCCTCATCCAAATCATTTCACTTTTCAATCATCCAGAAACTAAAGAAATACTTCCTTACAACGTTATGGTTCACCTGTGTCTTCAGCTTCAACCTGTCTCTCATTGATCCTGGTCCTCTTAATTCAAACAATCTGTCCCCCTCTGCCTACCAATTCCTCTTACGGTTGTGCATATAGTAATCATGTTCCCCTTGTTCTTCTCTCCGCCAAGGTTGTCAGGTTCCTTTAACCTCTCCTCATAGTGGATTTCCCTCAGTTCTGATACTAATCTGGTTGAATCCTTCGGATCTTTGCGAGCATCTTCACGTGCCTGACTAGGAGCGAGTTCCACGTTAGTATTCTGTACTCAATGACCGGCCTAGAATATGTCTTACGTAACGTTCTGAAGGATTCACTGTTCAGATTCCTGAACGTTGTTTTACTAATCCTTCATGTGTCATTGACGTTATACATTTTGTGTATTTATGGTTATATGCTTGGTGTTATATTCACCAATAGGTCCTTCATGCTCTCTAATATTTGCAGCTTCTCTCCGTCCAGTTCGTATGACCTTGAATTTGTTTGGGTTAAATTCTCGACAAACTACTCGTCTGTTGAGCTCCCTGGCGTTTATCACTGTCGTCTCCTGTTCTTATTCGTCTCATTAGTTTTACATCATCTGCAAACACACACACAGGACTCGATCCCCTCTGGTAGATCCTTCAAGTATATTACGAACAAAACCTTAAATCAATGACAAGTTGACGAATAAAACTTAGGGAAACACCTGGGTATCTTCATTGGAGAGGCGTTTTATCTGCTGCGCAGGTGAAACGTTTCTGAAATAAGATAAACGTGTGTTGCTGGTGTGTCAAATTCACGGCCTTATTATTGAGCTACGTGGAACCCCGTTCGTTACCGTCTCCCATTCTAATGTCTCATTCCCTACTGATACTCTGTCTTCTGTCATTCAGGTACCCCATTGGAGCCCTCTGCAATTTAACCTTGCCTGTTCCTCTAATTTCTGAACTAATCTCTGGTATGGTACTGTATCCAATGCTTTCCAGCAGTCCGAGTCGATGCAGTTCATCCAGCTCTGTTTTTCTTGCTTTATCTCTGCGACTCTTTATCATAGAATTCCTACAGATTTGTGAGGCAGAATTTTCCCATCCCAAAATCTGTGCAGATTTCCTGCAAAAGATACGTCTCTCCAAGGGTTCCAATATATTTTTTTCTTACTACCTTCTCCATAACTTTCGACAGTATGCATGTTAGAAATGTCAGCCTCTTGTCCGTCCTCCTCCTTATGTGGGGACCACATTTGCCTTTTACCAATTTTTCTGGCACTTGTCCTGATTGGAGCACGCAGTGGTTTCGCTCCTTTTCTCAGAACCCACAGAGAGGTTACTTGGTTCTACTGGTAATGTTACATCAAGTTCATTTAGTAGCCCCATCATTTTTTTATTATGCCGATACTTTGTAGCACCTGTTGATCTGGTCTGACTACGCTGCCTTCTGGTACCTCTTCACTTTTTACAGTGAAAATCTCTTTAAATATTTTGCCAAGCTCTTCACGTACTGTTTCGTAATTCTTCGTCAACGTGACATCATCATACCTGGAGGTTACCTGGAGGTTATTCCGGGGATCAACGCCCCCGCGGCCCGGTCCATGACCAGGCCTCCCGATGGATCAGGGCCTGATCAACTAGGCTGTTACTGCTGGCCGCACGCAGTCCAACGTACGAGCCACAGCCCGGCTGATCTGGCACTGACTTTAGGTATCTGTCCAGCTTCTCTCTTGAAGGCAGCCAGGGGTTTATTGGCAATTCCCTAATGCTTGATGGGAGGCTGTTGAACAGTCTTGGCCCCGGACACTTACGGTGTTTTCCCTTAGTGTACCAATGGCGCCCCTACTTTTTATTGGGGGCATTTTGCATCGCCTGCCCAGTCTTTTACTTTCGTAGGGTGATTTCTGTGTGCAGATTTGGGACCATTCCTTCCAAGATTTTCCAAGTGTAGATTATGATATAATCTCTCCCTCCTGCGTTCCAACGAGTACAAGTCAAGTGCTTCCAAGCGTTCCCAGTAGTTAAGGTGCTTGACAGAACTTATACG